GATTGATATTTGAAGAATAATTAATATATAATATTTTGAAGAATAATTCATGTATAATACTTTATAGAATAATCAATAATTAATATTTAAAGAATAATTAATATATATTTTAAGGAATTAATAATATATAATATTTTAAAGAATGATTGATAATGTATAATATTTTAAAGAATAATTAATAATATATAATATTTTAAAGAATAATTAATAATATACAATATTTTAAAGAATAATTAATAATATACAATATTTTAAAGAATAATTAATAANACATAATATTTAAAAGAATAATTAATAATCAATATTTTAAAGAATTTATATTCGCCACTTTGTATCACGAAAACAAGTATTTGCTGTATCAAAATAGACTTCAATAAATATCATAAAATGTCATAAAATAAAGCAGCTGTGACTCAATAATGTCAGACACAGCTATTTCAGTATAATTACATAACAAAATATTACACTCAATTCAATAAATCCTGATGCAAATGGTAAGAAAGATTAATTTTACTTCAACAAATATTAATGCACCTCTGCTATAAGAAATCTTCGAATGCAACAATTTCTGCATGATCGCAAGTCCGAAGTTCGAGCAGTCACTTTTGATTTGGCTCATTCGCATTGTATCGACAACAATGCTCGACGATGATCGACGGTCAATGCGCGCAATTTGCACAACGCCGCGAACATCGGACGCATCGAGAAGTATTAAATTCTGACCTCGATAAGCGTGATAACGCGTTCCGAGACCTCATCGAAGTCTCATTCTATCGAGGTCAACACTTTCTCTTCTGACGAAGAGAAGTCTTTGTTGCGCGGAGAGCCGCGCCGCCGCCGCACAGCGGGCCGGATCGAAGGTTTTAGTGACTTTTTGACAAAAACCTAGTTTTCTCGTATCGATGTCCAGTCAATTTTTATTGCTTGTTAACGACAATTTAAAGTTGAACATTTTGAACACTACATTTGATGCCAAAAAATATGCTTCTTTTTCTCGCAATGTCCCGACGAACCTATAATTAACTTTTTCCTTTGCTTTCGTTTTTAACATTAGGAGGCAATATTTCTCGTTAGGGAACAGTAGCTTAAATTAAGATTTTTGTATCCTACATATGAAAAATATAATGTTTGATAAAATACAAAAAGTGTAAAAATTTTTTAGATTCGACAAGGAATATCTTTTGACACCCAAGGTATCACGGTTTCGGACAAACGGTATATTTTCAGGATACTTTCCTCTACATAATTCTGTAAAAGTTACAAACCAAGACGAACCAGATTGCAAATTATTACGTTTTAAAGATATCAACGTTACGTTACTTCGAGGTTAAAGATATCGAAGATAATCTCTCTGTGTTCCAGTCGGTATTACACAACGCTTGTTCGTCTGTAAATCGACAGATATTTAAAATTTTTAATAATTCCATATAATATGAAAAATATAAGTAAACGAAACAAACTTTGCAACATTACAATACTAACGTACCTGGAATTACTAGTGGGTCCTCGTAACCATTGTGGGTGCAATAAAGTACGCGTCCCAGAAAAAGTTCTCTGTACACATTGTATGCAGTTGGTAAATTTCAACAGTTCGGACTTTTGATAAAACGTAGAGTACGTTAATTAATCTTACCATTTTGTTATTGTTTCAATAAATCTGCAGCTTCAGGATTTAAAGCGTACAGAGACCTTTTTCTGGGACGCGTACATTTATTGCACCCACACTGGTTACGAGGACCCACTAGTCATTCCAAGCACGTTACTATTGTAACGTTACAAATAGTTCGTAACATTATATTTGAACAATGTCTTTTTTCACAAAAAATGTCAATGAAAATTAATTGAAAATTATTGTTTAACAAATGCAAAAGAAATTTAATTATCTATAGTTGAAAATAACTATTTTTTAAATATTTTCGGTGAAAATTTCATTGCAATATCTTTGATGGTTCAAAAGTTATAACAGAATGTCACTGAATTTCTCGATCCAGCCCACTGTGCACCGCCGCCGCGCTCCTCTTTGTGCTTTGGTTTCGCGACGAAACTTATCCCGACGCGACGGTGGAAAGAAAGCTTTTCGAGCAACCAAGAAGAACGGAACGGAGGAGATGCGCTATAATGTGCAATTATCGCACGGGCCCCGCCCCTTGTGTGTAACGTACCGAGCGACTTTCGTGTCGTGAAACATGATTCTCACTGGTCAGCAAATCTAATAGCTTGTGAACGAGTTCTTGCATTTCTCTTTAATGACACAACGCTGCCCAGACCGTGGTTGAAACTGAGACGAGACCGTCTCCTCTCGCGTGAACTCGCTTTTCGCGTCGTTCTTCATTACCCCGGCCGAACATCGGTACACCGCATAACTAATTAATTCGGGAAAAATTATGGACAAGCCCTCCCTCGGGCGTCTTATGCGGGACGTGCTAAATCAAGTTCCGCGAGCTGCTCCCTTAAGAGTCCGGCGTCGATGTTTACAAGATTTCTGGTTTTCTTTATAGTGGAAACATGCGAAACCGTTTTTTTAGAGAAAATAACGAAGAAGCGATGCAGTTTTAATTTCACAAGACGCGTATTTGTCGAAATATTAAATTTTACTCAATTGTTAAAGATGCGACGAAAATTGCTAGAAATTTGTATAAACATTCGTTAGAAATTCGAGTAAATGTGGTTATAATAAATCGCTAGAAATTCTAATGAACGTAGTTATAATAAATCGCTAAAAATTTGAATAAATATTCTTATAATAAATCGCTAAAGATTTAAATAAACGTTGCTGTCATAAATCGCTAAAAATTTAAATAAATATTCTTATAATAAATCGCTAAAAATTTGAATAAACGTATTTATAATAAATCGCTAAAAATTTGAATAAATATTCTTATAATAAATCGCTAAAGATTCAAATAAACGCATTTATATTAAATCGCTAAATATTTGAATAAATACTTTTATAATAAATCGCTAAAAATTTAAATAAGCGTTGCTATAATAAATCGCTAAAAATTTGAATAAACACTTTTATAATAAATCGCTAAAATTCGAATAAACATATTTATAATAAATCGTTAAAAATTTATAATTATTCGCTAAAAATTCGAACAAAAATATTTAGAATAAACCGCCAAAAATGCGAATAAACATATTTCCCTAATTTTCAACAACTATTCGAAAATAGATTACACCGCGACCTGCTTCGAAATACAAAATTGCGAATAGAGCGCATTTTGCAAACGTTTTCTCTACTACAGTTACTATAATTGATCGTATTTTATCAGCATAGTTGCGCATACGTACGTCCTCGAAAACAGAAAATCCATAAATTCTCATCAGAACGGCATAGGAAAGTTTCCGGCAACGTTTCCGTGACTATCGAATCCTAACGAAAAATCAGGGGTCACCGATCGATACTTCTCGCGCGCGGCGTATAGTTTCTTGCGATTCGAACGGCGCAGTTTCGTTCGCCTACACCGCACGACGGCCATATCTGGACAGAAACAGGAACGATCTGTTGAAACGGCGCGCTCGAGTGTAAGCGCTTTCGAATTCTAACGAAACCAGCACCGTTCCCGCTGCAGAGGAGCTCCGTCGTTATCGGGCCGCGGTTTGTTATTACTAAAAAAAATCATCATCACGGAAGAGAGGCCCCGGCAAGATCGATATTGGCCATTTGCACGGCGAACGAGAGAGGATGTTCGACACGGTCGAACGAGCCGCCGACACCGCCGGTTATTATTTTGCAACGGCGCTTGATAATACATTTTCACCGCGTAGGCGATAACGCGGGAGACTGTGTGGGTATGTGTGTGTATGTGTGTACCTGTGTTCTACGTACAGTGATTACCATTAATATTCGAACAGCTTTTGCGAAGGATCAACTTTCTTTTCGAACTGGATCGAGTCATAATTCTGACATAACCTCGAAATTTTTCAGGCGATAGATGACGATTTTCAGATTTTCTTTCTCCTTTACTAGACCTTTTTTGGAATTTTGCTATTACTTGGCGAAGGAACAACTTTCTTTTCGAATTGGATCTGACATAACCTCGAAATTTTTCAGACGATAGATGTCGATGTTCAGACCTTTTTACTTTTCTAGACATTTTTTGCGAATTTTGCTATTACTTGGCGTGACGAAGGAAAATGGAAAAACTCTCGTCTTTCTTAATCTTTTTTTGTCTATGCTTGCAACGAAAATTTATAAAATTTATATAACTTGTAAAATTTATGATCTGAACTGTGAACAATCGAAAATCGCGGAAGTCGCGGTTTCGTCCCGATTTTTGTCACTCTCGATGAATAAATGTCAAAAATCTGCAGTTTTAAAAATCTATCGACGCTTGCAATTTGAATCAGTGTTCACAGATTGCGATGAGACTTTCATGCGTGTTTCGACATGTAAGTAACCGGGATCTACGAAAGGAATATTTTGAATTTTCGTCAT